CGAGAAATAGATGGCCTTTGGTAAGGTCATCCACGCATCCTGATGATCAAGATCGAGTCCGATCGGGTTCTTCAAAAATTATCTGTGTTATGCTTATGATCAAGTTCCTTTTTCTATTGTAAGTGGTGGGTGCCAGAGCAAACTCAAACTCAAACTCAAACTCTGGTGCTCCTTGGTTTGATGCTGGTCTCAATGTGTGCTCTATTACCATTATTTTCACCTCATTGGCTTTGACACCATGCAACTTTGCGGTCCAACTGGGCCATTAAACCATTAACCTCAATGCTCTGCCAGGAAAATGGCCTTACACAGAGATTTTCCCTGTTTGGGAGGTCCTCATCTGAACCTGAAGAATTACCTTCATGCCACTCTGATACAGCTGCTTCAGACAAAGACTCCTCTGATGACATATATGCAACGGACATACATGCAAGGTACTTGTCCTTGTCTAACTAACTGATGCTAGTTGACTCCCTCAGAGCATATTGGCCCTTTCATTTTTTTTCTGAAAGAAAAATGAAGAGCCATGATTTAGCAGCCAACAAGTAACCCACAGTTGGTAAACAAGCATGTACTGCTCATGCTCAGTGTAAACGATTGGGTTGCAGAACAATGACACGATTCTAAAAGCTGAAAACACTCTCTTAATCAAAGGAACAGTTTGAGGATATTTGTGAGAAAAATTTCTCCCTGCATTTTATTCCTACTAACTTTTTCATTAAATATATAATATGCTTTTTGGAACAGGTGTTAAAGTAGAGAGCAGAAATGCCTCTTTCTGTTGAATCTGCATTTGTTTCATTAAGACTCTTTTAAGTATAAAAAAAAAACTGAAATAAATTAATTCCCCTGTCATTCAAGAGCAGAACTGATAGTGTCCCACAGGTCACCAGGCTCTAACAGAGCACAGCCATGACTCAGCTGTACACATAAACCGTAAAACCGGTCAGAACCTGAGAAACATAACATTAAGGCAACCCACATGTTGCTTAGAACAATAATTAATTAATTGTGGTTATTTGGCATGATAAAGCCAAAGCATTTACTCGCAAAATGAACTAACAAAGATCCCTCAACATCATTGAGCTGTACAAAAGGTATAAATAATGAGGTATTGTCATTTAAAATGTGGAACAGTAATACAGTGGTCACTTGGAATGGCACTTACGCTTCAAGATCTGGCAAGTGCCATCATTCGCAAAATGAGCCAAAATTACAATATCTCACAATATCACTGAACCATATTTATAAAGCATAAGAGTTTTGGATGGTACAATTTATGAAAGAAGAATCACTTGTCATTTAAATGTGGAACAATAATACGGTGGTCACTCAGAATGACACATAGGCTTCAAGATCTGGCATACACCGTCACTCGCAAAATGAACCAAAATTAAGATCTCACAATATCACTGAACCATATGTATAAACCATGAGAGTTTTGGATGGTACAATTTATGAAAGAAGAATCAATTGTCATTTAAATGTGGAACAATAATACGGTGGTCACTCAGAATGACACATAGGCTTCAAGATCTGGCATACACCGTCACTCGCAAAATGAACCAAAATTAAGATCTCACAATATCACTGAACCATATGTATAAACCATGAGAGTTTTGGATGGTACAATTTATGAAAGAAGAATCAATTGTCATTTAAATGTGGAACAATAATACAGTGGTCACTCAGAATGACACATAGGCTTCAAGATCTGGCATACGCAGTCACTCGCAAAATGAACCAAAATTAAGATCTCACAATATCACTGAACCATATGTATAAACCATGAGAGTTTTGGATGGTACAATTTATGAAAGAAGAATCAATTGTCATTTAAATGTGGAACAATAATACTGTGGTCACTCAGAATGACACATAGGCTTCAAGATCTGGCAAGTGCCGTCACTCACAAAATGAACCAAAATTAAGATCTCACAGTATCACTGAGCCATATGTATAAACCATAAGAGTTTTGGATGGTACAATTTATGAAATAAGAATCATTTGTCATTTAAATGTGGAACAATAATACACTGGTCACTCAGAATGACACATATGCTTCAAGATCTGGCAAACTTATGCCGTCACTTGCAAAACGAACCAATTAAGATTTCACAATATCACTGAATGATAATTATGTATAGATGTAAAACAAGAGTTTTTGACTGTAAAAATTTCAAAAGGAAAATCATTTGTCATTTGAAATGTAGTAGAATCTTAAATAATAAATTATAGTGACCACTGCTTTGTCAAGTGCTGTCACCTGAAAAATACAGTAACCCCAAAGATCTAACATATTAACTCAGCTGCACAACAAGCCAAATTACTGAATTATGGACATGCTAAGGTCACATCACCGACTTATATTGGTGTAAAAGAAATGTTTGCCTGCACAGCTCAAGATCTGGCTACTTAAGATTATTCCATTAATGAAGACGATGCGCAACAAAGAGTACAGTTATTTCTGCAGTAAACAAAAAGGAATCAATCAGTGGCATATCTGTGCATGCATCTTAAATTTTAAGATTTATCATTGAGGTTTTAAGCTTGCGCAAAGTTATTAGAAAACCAAAGTAAGTAAACGAACCACGATATCAAAAAGAACATACCTTTCTGCAATCCAGCTGAGTTGATGACTTGGAAACAGGCTTTATGTGAAGAATATCGCAACTGATCACTGTCTCTCGAAAATAACAAAGGTATAAATCGTAATAGAACAGCTGAATAGAAAGACAGGCTTTCTATTATCCGAAAATAACAAAACTACTCGTTTTGCAACGCTGTATTGCTTGAGAAGTCCGCGTGAATTTGAACTGTTCAACGAAAGTTTATTTTACACTATTCTATTGGTTCAAAAGCCGCACGTGACAATGTAAATCAAATCGCGCATGTGCCAAAGTCACGTGGAAGCCTGGGAAACAACAAACATGGCGGCTGATCTTGCGATCGAGTGCATTCAGGACTACATTCACCCGGACGATGAAACTCTGCAATCTACTATTGAAATGACTCCTGGGTTCAAACCTTTCACATATTGTGCATTTTGTTCACCCAAATTGTAAATGGTAACGTTTTACGTCAGGGCCTCCTATTCCGAGACTTCTTGTGATATTTTTTTTTTCCGAGCCACCGACCCAATATCAGGAAACGCATTCGACGCTAAACGAAAAAAAAGGGGGGATGGCCTTACCCGAAATAACCAGCTGCAGCAAGTAATATGATAAACTCTGAGAAGAATGTGATGGTGATTGAAACGGGCAATGGAAAATCAAAACTTGCGTGAAATAACACTGTGAAGTTTGGTAAATGTGCAAACGTTGGTTAAAGTGGTCGTAAAGATAGTTCTTTGATCATATTTTGCTTAAATTTACGCCTCTAGTAACCATAAATGTACACATTAACTTTGCTATGCCAGAAAATATCAAGCAAACATTCATTTTTGACGTTCGATTTTTACACAGAGAACAAAATGTCGGCAAATTTGAATCTAAACACCAAATTTACTATGGGGAGCAAAAGTGAAACAAAATATCTGTAAACTTGATATTTACGCCACCCTTGCAGAAAAGTAAACTTTCACTTTTGAACAGAATTTGCACCAAGAACAAATAAGTAGCAACATTAGTACCCTAAATTTACAATAGATTTGCTCAACTAGCAAACTTAGGCAAATCCGTTTTTTCGTCCAGTGGGCCATCACGTTGTTCACATCGCTGGTTTGAACCAATCTTCAGCATTTTTTAGGCAAGTACGCTCTTTTCCTTTTATCTTTCCTGTTATTTAATGGCTGAGCCCCGTGTTTTAGTTCTGGGCGATTCTTTTATTCGCCGTTTGCGCCTTTTCCTGTCTCGTGATTCTTACCATTCTAGCGTTGATTTCAAGTTATCTCACCGTGCCTTTATAAAATGGCACGGAGTCGGTGGCCGCACGGTTTCCAAAACGCTACATCTTGACTTAAATGTTATCGAGTCCTTTCGACCGGAGATAGTTATAATGCAGTTGGGTTCCAATGATTTAACAGACTCTGACCCTTTACATGTTGGCTCAGCTATTGAAGATTTTGTTAGGCTATTGCATAACAACTATGGTGTTAAGGTTGTCTGCGTGTGCCAGACCATCATGCGCCAGGGCGCAGTGGTCTTTAATCGTAAGGCCAAGCTGTTAACGAAATACCTTCGGGTAGTTTTAGAGCCTATACCTTATGCTATCTTTTGGGGCCATAGGGGATTTTGGCGCTCGACTCAGAACTTTTACGCACGTGATGGTGTGCATCTCAATTCCTTCGGTCAGGAAAAAATACCATCGTAGTCATAGGGGAGCAATCCTAAGGTCCTTGAGCCTGTTCAGCACAATTTCGTCTTGTTGAATTTTCAACGTTTCATTTCATTTCCTAGTCAAGCCTTTTAACGTTTACGTACTTGCCTCGCCATGCCTTTGTTTTAGTGACAGCCGTTTATGTTACTGACTTGCCGCCTTTATTTAATTGGGCGCATTCTATTTTGGCTGCACTTATTGTTTTTACAGTTCTACAGAACTGTTGTTTGCCTTCCGTGCATAACAGATTATACTTTGTCTTCGTGAATATTATGAGTGTGCAATCCTATTCGACCGCCCTTATTTGGGTGTGTCCTCAATGCACTTTGATATTCGTTTACCAGGCATTTATGTCACTCAATTCTTGCTACGTGGCTCGCCATTTGGTTTTCAGCAGAGTTCGGTTATTCCTCACCATTATGTGTGCGTAGCTTAGCCACATTACCGTTTGTTAAACAAAAAACACAACTCAAAAGAAAACATCCCGGCTCAGACCTTTCATTAATTTGCTCCTCTTTGACTCATACCGTTTTTGATATGTTATCTTCTCTTAGCGGAAACATATGGCATTTAGCCTTATCTTAATCTAATTACTTTTACTTATCTAAGTTATGCCTCCTAAGCCGAAGCGAACGTCTCAAACACGCACGCGAAGTTCTGCAAAGCGGGCACGTGTAACAGAAATGATCGAAATCCGCCCTGGACCCAGTGATCAACAACAACCTGCAACTTCCACGGAGCAGCCTCTCATGGCCGTCAATATGCAGGCCCTCTCCGCCTCCATTTCTAGCGCAGTACAGCTAGCTGTCGCGGAGGCCATGAAAGCGCAATGGCCAGCAGCACCCAGGCAGGAGACACAGTCCTCCACGGACCAGTCAGTGCCCAATATAGTCAACGCATCCTTGGCCGAGATCACCCAAGGTACTCCATCAAGTAGCCAAAACGTTGTCATCTTAGCTGAGCCTGGGTTAGACTCGCCGGCTCCGAAACAAATTTTTTCTAGCGTGGCTGTTTCTCTTAGCAGTCGGGTGAGTTCCAAAGTCAAGGCCAAAATCTGGTCCAACGAATATCTTGATTTTGGAACTCTCCTCTCGTTTTCTCCCAATAATCATAGGTATTTTCTGTCTCTTGCCTCTTCGGATGGTGAGACCACCCGCCCACACTTAACTTTAGAACCTAACCAACCAGTTAAAAAGATCCAAACTATCAACCAGTGGCTCTCTGCATTTAATATTTTTGTTGCGATCTATTCGGAAAAAATACCCTCGGACACACCCAAGCTGATGAAATATTGTGAAATTGCCCGCGATTTCGCCGCAAAACCAGGTGACTGGTTGTATTATGACGAACAATTTCGTTTCATAAGGCAATCAGCCCCTGCACAATACCCATGTGACGCTATTCACTGGGAACTTTGGCTGAAGGCTGTGACAAATTTTCGTCCGAAAACCCAGTTTTCCTCGGACAAGGGACCTCTGCGCTCCCGCTCCCAGTCCTTTCCAAGAGGCACATGCTGGCGTTTCCATGCGGGGAAGGTGTGCAACGGGTGCCGTTTCGAACACATTTGCAATAAGTGTGGCTCGAAACACCCTGCCGCACAGTGTTCCTCCAGCCAACCTAAAACACGCCCCGTCAAAGCAGGCATTTCAACAGTCGCTGCACAAGCCAGTAACACCCGTAAAGGTGGATCGGCTTAATTTTCTTCTTAGCGGATACGAAACGTCTCTCCGCCTTTATTTAGTTAATGGGTTTACTTTTGGTTTTCGCGTTGGTTTTGATGGGGAACGCTGCGCGTTGCACTCACCCAACCTTAAAAGCGCTTTAGACCAACCGCTAATCGTTCGGACGAAACTACGTAAAGAGTGTGAGGCCGGGAGGATATGTGGTCCTTTTATTTGCCCTCCTCTTCCAAACTTTGTTTGTTCTCCTTTAGGAATTGTTCCCAAAAAAGACCCCTCTGAATTCCGTTTAATTCAACACCTATCGTACCCTCATGGCACCTCAGTAAACGATAACATACTACGCATACTACGTTCACTACGCTTCTATTTCTGATGACATTGCGGTACTTAAAAGTTTAGGGGCTGGTTGCTTTTTGGCCTAAACCGATATTAAATGGGCTTTCAGGATTATTCCAATTCATCCTTCCGATTTTCCTTTGCTAGGCATGAAATGGGATAATCAGTTTTACTTTGACGTATGTCTTCCTATGGGACTGTCATCCTCGTGTCAAATTTTTGAAGCTTTTAGTTCTTCCTTGGAGTGGATCTCTGTGCACCGATTTGGCGCATCCGGAGTTCTTCACATTCTTGACGACTTTCTTTTTATTGCGCGTACCGAAGAGCAATGCCGCACCGATTTAAGCAATTTTCTTCGTATGTGTGATTACCTTGGCGTGCCCATTGCTCAGGAAAAAACTTGTGGACCATCTCAAGTCATACAATTTGCGGGTATCACACTCGATTCAATTAATCAGGAAGCTCGTTTGCCGGAAGATAAGCTTCAAAAATGCCGCCTATTACTTGAATCCTTTTGCAAACGTCGTAAAGTTACTTTGCGAGAATTACAGTCCCTAATAGGTCTATTAAATTTTACCTGTTCCGTAATCGTACCTGGGCGTGCTTTTCTTCGCCGCCTAATTGATCTCATCATTGGGGGGAGACGCCCACATCATCGCATTAGGCTCACTAAGGAAACCAAACACGATATGGAGGTATGGCTAAAATTTCTCAGGGAATTTAATGGCCGTTCCTTTTTCTTGGATGATAAGTGGAACACATCTCCTCCTCTCGAATTGTATACCGATGCGGCCGGATCAAAGGGCTATGGTGCCATCTTTGGCCCTCACTGGTTCTTCGGCTCTTTTTCGGATCTGTGGCAATCCTTCAATATTACCTTTCTCGAACTATTTCCTATTGCCCTCTCAGTGCGTATTTGGGGTTCTCAGATGGCTAACCGATGTATCGTGTTTGTTACTGATAACGCTGCGCTGGTCAGTATTATCAATCAACAGACATCCAAACACAAATTAGTTATGATATTGATCCGTGACTTGGTTCTAACTGCTCTCAATTATAACATTATCTTTCGTGCTCGACATATACCAGGTCTTAATAATACCCGGGCCGATTGTCTTTCACGATTTCAGATAGCACGGTTCAAGGAACTTTCACCCCAAGCAGACGAATTGCCAACAATAGTGCCAGAGATTCTTTTGCCGACGAGTTGGTCGCTAACTTAGAGAGTCTCTTGAGCTCTGTATTGGCGTCAGGTTCGGGTCAATCATAACGTAGAGCGTGGACACTATTTCGTGAATTTCACGAGAAATTTTACAAGACAAAAGCCTTCAATTTACCGTTAACCACCGCGTCTTTGGCGCTTTTTATTTCTTTTCTCGACGGTAGAAATCTTTCGCCTTCGACTATTCTTTCTTATCTATCGGCAATTGGTTACGTCCACAAGATGAAAGGTTTGCATGACCCCACAAAGGCTTTCCTTATTCAAAAACTTTTGACCTCGCTCAGTCGTCAGAAATCGTGTGATGTCAGGTTACCGATATCTAAACCTATCTTGCATGACCTCGTAAGCTCTCTCCAGCACACCAACTCTTCGGCAGCACAGCGTATACTTTTTTCAGCCATGTTTCTCACAGCTTTCTATGGTTTCTTTCGCATCGGTGAACTAGCGGCCAGGAGCGCGTGTCACACTACCGTAATTTCGTACGATAACATCCGGTTCCTCGCATCCGGTGGGAAAATCCATTCTATTAAGATCACAATCACCCATTTCAAACATAACACAAGCAATCTCCCTTTTGACATTGTTATTACTGGTGATGAATCTTCACCGTTTTGTCCTGTTAAGTTCATACTCTGGTATTGCCATTTCCGGGGTAACAAGCCCGGTTCCCTCTTCTGCCATGCAGACAATACACCCATTACGGTTAACCAATTTAACACCGAACTTAGGCGCTGCTTAAATTTCTGTGGTTTGAATACTCAACGCTATAAGAGTCACAGCTTTCGCATCGGCGCGGCCTGTCTCGCAGGAGACAAAGGTTTTTCTGACGCCCAGATTCGCGCTCTTGGCCGATGGAAGTCTGATGCCTTTAAACTTTACATTCGTAATTCTACATTACAAGGAATTTAATTTCGCATAGGTCAGACATGGGCTGCCATGCATCTTGTCTGTCATATGTAGAACTTTTCGCTAATTGCTACCTAATTGGTGGTCACGCAAGGGCTGCACCATAACGTGCTTGTAGTACTTTATAAAATCGTAACATTTCACAATGCCGCGTGTGTATGCGATGATGGTCAGACAGGGGCTGCATCATCTCATACAAGGACTCTGCAGTGCGTTTCTTCATTGCAGAGTCTGTTTCGCTGTATCAAAAAAAAAACAAAACAAAAACAAAAAAAAGGAGTGATGGTCAGACGGGGGCTGCATCATCTCTTAACGCAATTTAAAGGTTTCCTGTTTTAAGCTTTAATAGCTCTCTAGTCGGTTGGTGAAGTTGGTCACGCAAGGGCTGCAACTTCCCGACCTACTTGCCCACGGGCTCTGCTGGCGTCTTAGTGGGGGTGCCACACTCTGTAGCTCTTTGGCGGTTTTTTCCCCCACCTTTGCTGAAGAGATATTTAGTTTATTATATATTGGCAGATCTTGAAAATAAAGTTAGTCACCTTTGGTGGCCAAATTTTCTCCAACCAAATCCAACTCCGTCTTTATCTCCTCAGCAAACAAGTGCGCCGCCACGCAGAGCTCTTGGTCACGCAATGCAAGGTTTTCAGCTTCCTTCGTACCGAAAAAATGGCTTGATATAAAAATTCGTTAAAAAAATTTACGGAAGCGAATTTCTCCAATCTAGTTTCATATTTGTTATATACTTATTAAAAGAAGTCTACAGAACAATTATGAGCGAAATCCATTTTGTGGGCAAAACTCGATATGAGGATCGTACAGAGACTGGGCCCGGTTGCATAAAACCTGCACTTAAGTGCTCACTTAAGTAGCTCACTTACGAATCCGTTATGGGTACACTTACGGGTGTTGCATGGAACACACTTAGCGCTCTCGTAAGTTTCTGTTTTACGTGGTAACTTACGGGCTCACTTAAGGGCACACGTAACCTTGATATAGTACTTTATTAATGAGTCACTCTTTTTTTTAAGCTAACCATCGGTGAGTGTAAAGAAAGTTAAAAGTCGTTTCGAAAACTTTTAAGAGGGTCTCAATGGGGTGGTGGCATTTACGGCTATCGGCTAAAATCTTGGCTCTTTTACGGCTATCGGTTAATTTTTTTTCAGTTACGGTTAACGAAAGAGTTAAAAATTAACTGCTTTTCTTTCAAAAAGTTAAATATTAATTAACCTGTATTTTTTTGTATTTTTAAATCAAAATAAAGGTCTTCGGATCATCTCGGGATAAAATAAGCCATTCTTTTGAAAAATTTTCACATTGGATCGATCATACTTTTTATAAAGTAATTTACTTCTAATATTATTTTACACATAGAAATGTCAATAGTCAATTTAAAAATAATCTTTGTGAAAAAGCAAAAGCAGACAAGCAAACGCCCAACTCAAGGCCGGGGCGACATTCATTATAACAAAAATGGCCGTTTTCACACTAGAGAAGGATTATTCGTGTGAGACGGGTTATCCGTTTGATGATTCGCGTCAGATAGGTAATACGTCTTAATTTGAACAATCCGCCTGACTTTTGAAGACGGGATTATCCGTTCCAGGTAGCCTTGGTACAGCCGCCCCCTCCCCTCAGAAAAAAATCGGAGAAGGGGTGTCTGTGGGGAGGGCTCGACTGTACGCAGGCTAGTCTCGGACGGATGATCCATTTCTAGCTCTAGTGTGAAAACGGCCAAAAACAAAATTCCCTTGTCCAGTGTTTTCAATGATAGCGAAGGACTGTACGGAACGACTGTCTGCCGTTGCCTTGTTCGTAGGCCGCATTATTCCGCGCGGCTAATGCGCTTCGGATCACGTGGTCCGAGCGAGTTCGCCACCGAAATGCCTTGACCGAGACTGCGTGGGAAGACGCCGTACAGGGACTAGGCATAGCAATGTCTACCGTAGCGTCAGCGGAGAAAACCAGGGAAGTGTTGTTTATCGGCAACGTGTTTTACAAACAGTGACATCGCTGCGTGCTGTTTCACTAGTGTTTCGAGGGCAAGACCTCCCGAAAATTGCAGATATTAATCCCCAGTAAGAAGCCACACTTTCGCTATGGAAAAAATTTGTTCCCCGATAGAGCGCCGGAAATGGAGCCTAGGTCTTGGTTAACACCTAAAAGGCGCTTCGCCTAACGTGCGTACGGAGTCACACTAGCCGGGAAATAAAAAAACACAACCATAGGTGAGTTTAGTACCTTCCTTAAAAGTAGCAAATCTAAGGAACACTTTCTTTTACGGTTAACTCTTTTTTACCCTATTTACGGCTAACGGTTAAAATTTTTCAATTTTTACGGCTATCGGCTAAATTTTTGGCCGTTTTACGCCTATCGGTTAACCCCATTGAGACCCTCTTTTAAGCCTCTCAAAAAATGAAATTTGCATGCAAACGTTATTTTTCTTCAATATCTACTGAAAATGATAGCTCTTCTTCTTTTTTCACAAAAGTGTTCATCAGAGGTTAACATAGCGCATTAGAACGAATTACGTGAAGAAAAATACTGTTTTCACTCCTCAGCAAAAGACCTCGTTAAATTTAGTAAAAACAGTAACGATACGGGACCTACATAGGTCCCGTAAATTTACGTGCTATTTTTCCCTTAAAAAAAGTTTTATGCAACACCCGCAATTTCTGTTGCATAAAGGACACTTAAGTGAACACTTACGAAAATCGTAAGTGCAACCACTTTAGTGAATTCCCTAAGTGGACCACTTAAGTGATTTCATGCAACTGACTTAAGTTACGAGTGCACGTACGTGTACCCGTAGTTGTTACGGACGTTTTATGCAACCGGGCCCTGGCTCTTAATATTTTACGTTGCTGCGTCAAATGGGTCACACACAACTTAAAAAAATAGACCAAAGGAAA